CACTATGAGATGTATGAGTGTCAAATCTTCAAACAAAGGAAATGTATATCAGTTTGTCATGTCTTAGTTTTAACACCTATATGCAAATTATGATTTTCTGCGGAAATTACTCATTGGTCGCCCGGTGGGGGGGTGTACTCCCCTATAACTTGCTATACGGGTATGTACCGCCCCATAGGGTATGGTTTTTCGGCTTTTGTGTCTGGGGTAGGGTATCATTTTTTAACATTTTGTCTGGTTACGATTTGGTCGTTCTTGTCTGGCGAATAGGCTACGCTTTCTGACGACACAAAAACAATAAGCACGTTAGTGAATATTGATTGCAATCCATTGTAAAACCGTATTTTCCGTCTTTTATTCTGGGATAGGGTGTATAATTCTTAGTTTTAGTCTGGGGTAGGTATGTAAAATCAAATTTTTAGGTCTGGGATAGGGTCAGGGTTTTGAGGTCCAGGCGGCACACCCCTTCTCAAGTTGGGGTGGTAGTACCCCCCCCTCCCCCCGGGATTGGTCGTAGCCAATCATAAATATATCTCAAGCATCGGGGTTTTTTTGGACAAATGCTATGCTGTCATATATTAGTATATAATATGATACGGTATCAGAGTTCGCAAATTATGAAAGTTGATAAATTTACGAAATTTTTTTAGTACTATATGATATAATTTTTGCTAGTCGTAATACGGTATTTTATTTAAAGAAAGTGCAGAACATAACTATGTTTCTAAACTGCAGTGATGCATAATACATGGGAGACGATAATAAATTATTACCAAGATGTATCGCGGCCGATAATAGTTCAGCGATGGGGGAGAGTATTTAAAAATGCAATGTTTATGGTGGTCTGATCGGGGGAGTGATGGGGAAGGGGGTGACAAGAACAAAAACGTTACATGAAAAAGAAGTAATAAACATTAATAAAGATCGCTTAGTTCATTCTAAGTGCATGTGTTTTTTTAAGATTTTCTGATATTCTTTGCATCCATTGACCTACATGTCCCGGTGTCCCGATCGTTTGTTGACCGCGTCATCGACACCTTTATTAGTTGTCTAAATATAATTAACCGGCGAGACTTCTGACTACCATATATTGTCCGAGACTAAGTCTTTTAAAATACTACCCCGCGAGCAGAAGATGGTTTTCTTCCCCTCAGCAGGACGAGCGGCAGCCTGTC